CCAACTCCTGATATTCTCTGATTCTGTGATTATCAGTGTTCCAGAAGTATTTAGTTTTGAGGTTTCCTTGGAGTCCACCATTCAAATATACATGTGTCTTGAGTTATCCTGAAACTGGCTGTCATTCTATGATATGGTGAACTGAGAGCATTGCAGAGGTTAACTTTAGCCTGGCAAAGCCTGTAATCCTGTTGTTCTTAGTGGAGAGGATCTTCCAAAGGGGTTAGTTCAGTGTCCATAAAAAATGAGGTGTTTAGCTCATGTTTTAGAAGCGCTACCTCACTCTGTTGTCTATAGAAGGTTAAATTTAGTTTGTAGTCCTTTGAACACCCGTTATTCACTGGTATATTTAAGCAAATCCTTGATTCCAAAAGCACTATCTTTTACCTCTGACTATATGGATACTAGCCTGATTGTTGCAGTTACATAGATGAAGACTACAGACAAAGGTTACAGATTCCGATTTTTCATTATGTCTGTTGTCCTTTGTATGATTTTAAGAAATTTAACTGCATTTTCCTGATTCCACTGAAGAAAACTGTAAATACACCAGTGCAAAATATTCAGACGTTCTTTTTGCAATCCTGCTGCATGAGGGAAGCTCCTAGTAATTGCTGGGAGAAGTGAGAGAAATTTCAGGGTTAGGTAGCTCACTACCTCTTAACCGATGCTTTACTAGAAAAAAATGCATCAGGAGGGTAAAGTGATGGAGCTGCAGCAGATAAGACTCAGTGGAAGCAGTTAAGAGTTGCAGGATGAAAGCAAAATATGGCCCATTTGTCTGGAAGTCTCTTTGGGGTTTGAAGGTAGAAATGGCACTCTAAAAATGTAAAATGTTACTGTACACCATTAGGGAAAGCTTCAGCTCAGCATGCATTGGAGCAAGTGGCTGTGACAGCTGAACTGTGTATTTAAAGGGTGTGCTGGTAAGGCCCCTCTCATGTTCACTTACCTTGTATTTATGCTTGTTACTGTTGTTGGTGAACAGTGATGTAAAGGTACATAAACAAACTACTGTCACCATGCACTTCTTGTTGAGTCTCGTAATTGAAGCAGACCCATAGATGACTCTCACACCAAACTCCTAGCATTCAGCCATTGTGGCAACCCTGGTATTCCACTTGGTTTTCAAATTCCGCATCATCACACTGAAAAGCTCGCTGTCTCTCTTGTAATATGTTTTTTTTTCCTTTCTCCTTGTAGAACATGATGAATGTGGCAGCGGACAGCATAACTGTGATGAGAATGCAATCTGTACAAACACTGTCAGGGGACATAGCTGCACCTGTAAACCTGGATATGTGGGGAATGGGACCATCTGCCGAGGTAAGTCCCTTACTCTAGAAATACCATAAAGGTAGCAGACTCTATTAATATTTTCTGGCAGTCACCTAAGTTCTGGTAACTTGTGATGGCTGGATTCTGTCAATGATTCACTGTGAGATTTATCATCTGGCAAAAAGAGTATGCATGGACATGATGGGAATTGATTTGTGCATAACTTCTCAGCAAGAAGGAAATACCTTTTGTCTAGCATTCCAAAAATACTTTTCATTTACTGTCATGGAATACTGTCATTTGAGCTAGTATCATTCAGCCTTTGAGTGATGATCATTGTTTTATAATCTGTGGATGATACATGCTATAACCTTTGTCTTTTAAAATTTAATCATGTGTCTTTTAAATTAGGTTAATTGTCTTTTATGTTAACATCATATGGTTGTCCTTTGACTATGCACATCAGAAAAGGGATTTCTTGTTTGTTTGTTTGGTCTTTACCTTTAAATATGTATTTTGAAGATTTCTCAGTTATGTAAGCAAGAAATACTAATAACCAGCCATGCTTTCTGTGATGTGGTGAGTCATTTATTGAGGGTGTTTTTTTGGTTTTATTCCTGTAGAGAATGAGAAGCAAATATGTTATATGAAGATAGAGGAGAGAATGCGTTAACTAATTGTCTTAGTGAGGGCTGTGTCATGAAGTACTACTGAGTTGTAACTCATACATTTATGAATTATAATTCTCATAAAAAGCTGATTTTTGTCTTGTCTGGGATTGTATTCTTTCTGACTTTCTAAACAGAATTGTGGTAATAGAAAATTAATTTTTTTTCAAGTAACAACTATTGAAATTGAGGAATGCACTGGGTAAAATATTCTGTACTTACTTAGGGGGCTCAAGAGGCTGGATATTAATTTTCTAGAATGTTGTAAATTGACCAATCAGTTCCTTAAAGGAAAATGAAGATCGATGTCATTCTTGTTTCAAGCTAAATTTCTTCACCAAGATTAGCCTGTCATCTGCTGAATTAGCAGCTCGTTGCATTTCGATATGGCTTTCTTTGGGTACTGTCTGTCTGCACAAGAGCATCCTTGTATTTAAAACTATAAAATTATTTCTCAAGATTTAAGAACGAATCAAAAATGTTATGAAAATAGTGAGCAAGTTAAACCTTGGTCTGTCTATATTGAAGGTCGGCAAGTGATACTGGGGAGAAACTCGTTGTAGTATGTTTTCCATCTCTGCAGTAAAAATTGCAGCATAGACAGCTATAGTTTTAAGGAAGTCTGACTTAACTGCCTGTGTGACTAATTTTTTTTTTTTCATTTTTTCCTGAGAGTAATACAAGACAACACTTAATCATATTTCTGTGAAACAGGGATGTTTGGATTAGTTCATAAAAATCATGTTTTCACACTGATTTTCTTTGTTTGCACACCTGGATATTTGGTTTAATGTGCCAGAAATGCTAAGCAAAACTTTTACTGCATATTTATTATTCTAGCGATGTTGAAGTAATGAAATTGCCCTGGAGAAATGATGTAAATTTTTACTTTCAAAGTTCTGTTAAAATCAGAGTTCTGGAAAAAATATACATTACACTCTGTTTTTAGTATGCCTTGAATTGCACATGTGAATACTTTATAGTTGCCTTTTTGAGATGGGTGTACATGGAAATAGAGGAGTTCTTACACGCTGACTGAAAAGCATGAATTTAAAAGAAAACTGGAGATTATAGGAAAGTGTTTTGCAGTCTAATAATTATTAAAAGTCACTAGGGAAAAGAATAATCTATCGCTACATGGAGTGATTAATACTGCAAACCAGCTAATATTAAAATAATGTGCATTTTAGTAAATAGTAAAACACTCTACATATAAAGTAGTGGTCTGAGTTTCTTGGCCTGTGGTTCTGTGGTCACTTGAAGTTTTTACAAGTTTGGACTGCTCATTTAGGAAATGTTCCCATTCTACCTCTTTTTTACCACGTTTAATAGTGATATGTTTTCAGTTACCAGTCATAGTGGTTTCCTTGCACAAATGTGAGGGTTTGCAAAATGAAACACATGTGAATGTGTCAGGAAACAACTACTGATGTAGTATTGTAGTAGTTTTGTGGCTTTATCTTTAGGTGATGTAAATTAGAACAAAATAGATGTAAGCCAAGGTGAGAAGTTTAATGTAATACCATCTGAAGATATGATAAACATTCTCCTTGAGTCATTTATAAGTGCTTTTTAAAAGTCATTTGAACACAAAACAGTTGTTCCAACTACCACTGAAATAACTTATCTCTGTAGTTCAGTAAGAAATCTTATTATTATTGTCCAGCAATAATAAATAAATAAATAATAAATAGAAAAAATGGTAATTTTATGGTGAGAGAAAAGGCCTGGCTTTATGCCTGGTTCTGTAGTCTGTTTCGACAGTCTATTTCAGCAGTGTTACAGAAAAATAAAATCAGAGGAATGTTCGTCTCTGACTTTACTGGATAACACTGACAGTCTTGATGAAAAAACCACAAAGTACTGTTATTTGTATGTATGTGTAGTTAAATTGCATGGTGTACTTCTGGTAAATATTACGAAATTACTCTGGCAGGAATTTGTGATGTCTGCATTTTTTAATGAAAATATGGAGAAATAAAACAGACAGATATAATCTGGATAGGAATATTATGATTGCTGGTGATTTAGAAATGAAAATAAAAAACAAATGTTGAAGAGAGGCAAATTTAAAAAAAAATCTCTATAATCAAGCTGTCACACTTCTTGAATAGAAAATAAATTTCATGCATAAGAAATTGCTTTACTGTAAATGTGGTGGACTAGACTATGTAATTAAGGACTGGGTTGTGTCAAACTAGATGTGGGAACTGTCATGAGGAAGGTGGTGGAAAAGGATTCACACCAAGACCGAATACACTTCTGCATTAAAATAGACACTGCCATAGTTGAAGTGACATAAAAATGGAAGAAGTAGTTACATACATAGTTACCAATATATAGATAGTAAGACTATGTAATAGAGCCAAATAAGACTTATTTCCTATGGATACTCTCGATGTCACTGTTAGAAGAGAGCTTTAGCACCTCAGAAAGACACTGAAATTCTGGCAATAGATCAAAACAGAACGAAGCTGAGGTGAGCTGAAGTGACGAGGCAGGACAATATTGTGCCATCACCGTGAGTAAATTTGACAGAGTACTGGACCCAGATTCAGATAGATTATATCTTAAGATTTCTTCAGAAAATGAAAAATAAAATAGGGACATCTTTGCTGGAAAAATTGACAGCATTAAAGGCAGAGGACAGAGGTAGTGAGTTGAATAGAGAGAGATTCTGAATCTACAGATTTGTTAAGTTGCTCTTTTCTGTGAAGGAAACTGAAAAACTTCAGAAGAACTATGAGTGATTCAGGAAATAAAAGTAGTTGTACATGGGTAGCGGGAGACTCATGCCATGCCTGTTTACTGGAATACTGTAAATGAATTATAGAATCAGTAGGTAAAGGTAGAAATAAGGCTAGTTGAAGCAATTTCACTAAAATTCAGGATAGGATTTAATGGTGCAACTTAGGGTAGAAAGCAAAGGTGATAAAATTGATTTGGTAACTGCATGTACTAGTTTAAAAAAGAATAAAAAGGTGTGATGGGCAAATGACACCCTTGTACAACACCGCACTTTGCTGTGTGGCTGTCAGGATGGTCCTTGTAGGAAATCAGTGTTTAGTGACAATGGTTAGATGAAAGAAGTCTGAAACTAGGACAAACCAGGTTTATGAATAACCCCTGACCTGCAGACAGCTTTGTGTTGCAAGAGTAAAAATTCTGTCATATAAAATGAGTAAAACTTGCTGTCATGACTCTAGCTGAAGAGCCAGGGATATTGAATACAGAGTTATATACCTTATTTAGACTCTTGGTGTACTGCTGCAGTGTTTTGGTGTGAAATCTTGGCAGGGCTTGAATCTGGGAGGCTGGAAAGTGTATTCAGGGAAGATGTCTTTCTCTGCTTTTTGTCTTCGTAAGTTCTATTTCCAGTTCCACTTGGCAGCCTTGCACAGTGTGCTGGGGAAGTGACATGTTGAAGTGGGATGCGCCGTTTGTTAAAATACGAAGGACTTCGTACTCCGCCATCTACGTTAGCAAGATGGAAGCTAACATGTTTGCTGTGCAGTCCTACAGTTCAGCAGAAGTTTGTGACATACCTTGTGCCTTGTACCACTGACTGAAGTCAAAAAGGGGACCCAAGTTATATTGAAACATCAGCAGGTTTCCTAAAATAATTGATGACATTTGAGATTAAATGCCTTAAAACAAATGAATGAAACCCCAGCCACCAGTTTTTGAAGTGGCTGTAGATCTGACTTTTCAGTCTGAGCAGTGTGCAAGTCACCATCAAGGTTTTGTTGCAATCAGTTGTTTTCTTTTGTACAAGGAGACTTAGACATAGTATACAAGCCGTGTCCTAATTCTTTGTATTTTTTTCCAAATGATTGTTTTAAAGTAATAAATTCTGCCCACAGAAATCCATATATATTGTCAGACTAATAGAAGTGGCCTTGAGTAGACTTGGATGGTGAACAAAGGCAATTCTTCTGAAACACAGACAAGGTGTGTTTGCTAATTTTTTTTTCATATATCTCTGTATTGGGGAATGAACAGAAGCCTAGCACTTAAAACAAGTGCAAATATTTTTCATTGTACTTCTGCATTTTACTTGTATAGTCTGTCTAACAGGTATATTTAGTGTGCTATTAATATTTCATTTAGTGGTTTCTACTGAGGTGTAGATTTATTAGGATGATTAAATGAGGTGGATTTAGTTACAGTCATAAATTCTAAAGCAAATGTGTGCAATATGACTGATGCCTGGGCAAAGAAACATCAGGTATTGTGAAATAAAAATCAAAACAGTGTTTATTCTAATTAGTATTCAGGCTGTAGAATGGTTTATTTCTGCCAGAGTATAGAATATGATTCTCCCCACCCCCCCACCCCGTTATATTCTTCTGCAACATTTCCCAGGAGACACTTAAGGGA